TGGTCTGGGATCTCTCATTTGGCCGCCAGCCGCGTCTGAGGCTCAGACGTCTAATTGTCCGGTAATCACGCCTGACCGTGGTGATCTACCGGGTAAAGGGCAACACACAACACACAACTCGGGTAAACACTGGACCACTTACAACAGGCCACTCTTGCGACACGTACGTACAGCTAACGTAATCAACGATCGAGTTGAAATCGTCCGCCGCTGAGGGGTGGTGTTCAAAAAAGGTGGAGAATGCATTAGTAGAAGAAATCTTTAGGAAAAAGAATAGAAGTAATATTTCTTAATAAAAAAAATCTTGCGACACGCTCAGCCTAACGTAATACTGTACTTGTAAGTTGGTTTTAAGTTGAAATCGTCCATGGTTGAATTGTTTGGGGACGAAAATTATTTGATGGGTTATCCTTGCATAAGGGGTTTCACAAAATGTAGCGACTGCATTCAATGAAGGTCATATTTCTAAATATAGAAGGAATATCTAACTTACGTTGAAGTCGTGGTTTCTCTGTTATGTAGGGGTTAACGTTATCCTGGACGCTCAGTTGGTTTTTGAATAAAAGTTGAATATTTCAGGATTGAATTGATCCGGGTCGAACATTTTTTAATAGGTTTATCTCAGATTAAAGAGTTTGTCAAAATTAGAGCACTGCATTCAATGAAGAACGTATTTTTGAAGAAGGAAGAAACATCTATCTCAATTAAAAATCTTGGCCTTTTTACATAATGGCTTAGAATGCATTAAAAGAAAAACAAGGCATTTCCGAAGAAAAAGGACGCCTAACTTGTGATAAAATCATAGTTCGTGCACGATCAGATTGTCTGGTCTAAAGCTGATGGCAGTCTTTATATTATGATGGAGTAATGGATCATTTGATTCAATACGGAACGAACTCTTTTACAAATAATTTCGTCCATTCAATAGCTCCGGATTAAAAGTAATATCCATAGGCTAATCACATAATAGCTAATTGCAAATGTGTGTTCTAAAGCAGAAAAACTTAAAAGGAACTTTTTTTGATGGTTTATTTAAAAGTTCTCCCACAGGCATTTACATCAGCTATCTTCTAGGCGAAAATGCTCGTCATGAATCGTTTATTTCTTATTCTACTTGATCAATGTATTATCATTATTTTGACTAATGGTCCTAATGATGGACTAATAGTACTAATGGTACTTGTACTAATCATATCCCAATAAGAACTACATTTTTCTGAATCTAGTTCTATCTAAATGCAAAGTAAAATACATTTTCAACCACAAATCTAAGCAAAATCATGGCGTATTTAGAAATCCCTGATAGAGACAGTACTCATCTTGTGCCTTACTGCTGCACTTAAAACATCCCTCATGATTAAGTACCTCCTACGAACACTCCATTCCTCACACCGAATTCAACCCTAATTTCGGCGAGCTCAAATAAATCAACAGTTCTTGACCATGTGGCGAGTACTATTCTGTCGATTAACACCTCACCTTATTGATGAGGTGGCCCTAACAATTACCATAGTGTGGTCACCCCAAAGCACGACCTACCCCAACCACGCACACGCACCATCGATTACACCGTTCACACATTCATCAGGGTGGTATATGATTACACGTGATTGCACCCCCTGCTTCCAGGGGAGCTGTAATACAGGGGTGTTGCTTGGGGCGTAAATAATATGTTTATTTGATCCTTGTCGACAGGAAAAGGGTAAGGTGAAAGGGTGTGTGAACAGAATGTAACAACGATTAAAACTGAAGGGTGGTTTGGCAAGATTTTGTGGTGTACCCTTTTTAGGGGTCCAACACTTTGACTATGAGGAAAACCGACGTTTTACTTTAAATATGGACCAATACATTGTTTTAAGATTAGCTTATGCTAATAAGGTCTTTCAAATTAAAACTGTAGTGAAATCTGAAAATATGTGAAGTTGTTATATCCACCCTATTTTGGTACAGGAAGTAAGTTTGTCGTTCTCCTTAAATCTCCTGTAATCCATGCGTAGAATATGCCTAAATTATTCTGTAATATCTTTACAGTTAAAATTACAGTAGTAAAAGCCTGGATGTAAAAATATGTATTTCTAAATAATACAAAAAAGTGTGTCATTGCCTCGGCTAAGTATTATAAGTCGATGTTGTTAACTAAACATTGAAACATTGTACTAAACATTACTTAATCATATTCAGTACTCGATATTTACACAATACCAGTATACTCTTAACTAACTACATGACAACATATATTAATGTCCAGTATTTTACAATTAATGTTTATTTTAGGTCACCGTAGCTCACTTTCTTGTAAATTTGTCGCGAAAACGTTTTTAAGTATCGTTATATAAAACAACTAGGTCAGCATCACAGACAATGATATTTCAACAAAGAACAACATTTTTAGTATATGCCTCCTAAAGTGTAATACCAATAAATAATGGTACACACTTAGGAAACACAATCGTTGTCGCCCTTTTCCTTCCCTCCACCCCAACCATTTACCAAGAATCCATTGTCTTACCCAGTGTATACAGTATATTTTAAACACCAATCTCAAACCCAACAAGGTGCACCAGTTTTGACAAAAAATGAAAATACAACACGGTAAGAGGATGTGGGGGAGGAGTCAAAAAGATGAAGGGACGTCAAGATATCGCACCTGAAGATCCAAGGGCTTCGACACCGGAAGTGAGCCGATGGGGGCTGAGGGCAATAACATATGTAATATTTGTTCATGTAACTTCCGTCCCGGTAAAAAATAAATAGCCCGCTTACAAAGTTCCCACGGCGGCGCGCCGGGTCGACGTCACTCAAAATGTACACGGGTACACCCGCCACTCCACTTGTCCGGTAATGGGCGATGTTAGTACAGGGTGTTGAAGGCGTCGTAATGATCTCGTGGCCAAGCGGCCATTAACTAGATGGTTAGTGGTAATTGAAAATAAAGTGTTACAGAAAAAAGGTAACGGTACACGTCAATGTGTGATAAGTCAACAGGAGTGTAAGAAATTGTAAATTAAGGATGACTATTTTGCAAGGAGTGGTACTGAACTGATTAATTATCAACCAATTTTACTACTAAGCACTATTTAAAGAATCTCAAAAAGTTGTATTGAATTGGTTTGTGTATTTAAATTTTACATTATGTACATATTTAGCCTTAAAATAGTTAATTAGTCCAGAGTTTATAAAAATAACATTTTTATATGGCTTTAAATTCATGTAAGTTTCTTTTTCATATGATAATTGCAAAATAAAATAGGATTATTTACTGAGCATTACTGCGGTGAATGATTGGGGCGGAGAAGATAAAGTTAATTTTAAATGCAAGTAATATTCAATTTGAGTAATACAAGGAAAATATCGAATTATATGAATTACTTAATTAGGAGCAACATCCAGCCTAGCAATAGCATTTAGCATTCAGGACATATTTAGTGAACACTGCCGTGCAAAATCCACTACATGATTTATGTTATAGGTGATATTTAAAAAGCTAGTTCTGCTTCCCCACTATAGTAAAATCTCCCAATCAGTAATAGACTTCAGTCTCGTAGATTCTAGACCTACTAGTAGTAACCTTTGACTCGGCTTCACTTTCACACTCACGCATTTCCCTCTAAAAATCCAGGAATTGCTGCTGAAAGCAAAGCTCCGAAAATGTGTGTTGGCTCAGTTAAGTTAAATTGCCATGTTCCTCATTTAAGAACAGTGCCGTAGCTCGCACTAATTTTGTAGTGTACTTCAAAGAAGCACTTTTTGGAGTATAGTCGTGCACCGGAAAAGAACGCCACCTATCCAGAACTCTTGATGGTGGAAAAAAGGTGTTTGATGTCGTGATAGACGATTAGGAGTTGTGATAAGAAACCTCGTCTACATGTAATAACCCATGACTCAGGTGCGGGTGACCCTGGAGCTGTGAGAATGCTTGTTGCTTCAGCTGATTCATATCCACCTCCACGTTTAATTGGTTCAAATTGCTGGACGGAGAGCAGATCCTGGACCGGAAGGAAGCTGGTGGGAAACAGCGAAATTAGCAGCTCCCAAGTTGACCAAGGTCGACATCAGATTATATGATTTGTTAGCCAACAAGATGGTTTGAATCTGGTTCTCAAGGATGTTCTTTTGTTCATATGAATGAGAGTGAGTAGCCTAGACATTAAAACCTCTTTGATATTTCGTTGTTGAATCCCACTTAGTGTAGACTGTTAATTTGTAAGTTTAAGTGCGTGATCCTCATAAGTTACTTTTTCATCAGTTAGGAATGAATGATAAAATTTGTATCATTCCCCAGAGATTGGGCTCGATCAGTCTGAGACACTTCAGTTCAGTATACAATACCTAACAATAATTAATACACAAGTACACCAAACAATATTTCGCTTACAGACATCAGTAACTGCAACTCCCTTCACTCGACACCTTTTATACTCGACGCTTTTACTTAGCATTAGGCCTAACTGTTCCTGTAGCTGTCTCATAGCTTAGCTGTAAATAGTGTTTTGATTAATTTAGTTTTAATTTTTAGATTATTTCAAATTTGTAATAGAGCTCGTCCCGCGCACAGTTTTTGTACGGCCTATGCGGGACTATTGTTTCGTATTTTGTATGCATATACTGTAAACAATTTTGGAAATAAAACAGATTTTGATTTGATTTGATTTGTAGTGGTGAAAGAATATCATACAGTGTATCTAATTTTCAAAAGTGCAATATTATAGGAAAAATATATTTTTCCTTAGGAATTCGGATATCTCATGAATTAAATCAGAAGTAATTTTCATTTATCCTCTAAAGTCCCTTAAGTATTTATTTATCATTAAATATGTTGAAAACAACATTATCTGAATTCTGTTAAGAAACCAAGTACCCACAAGAATACAAGATAACATATTATTACAAATTCAAAAAGTAACGAATGTAGCAGAAACCAAACAGTTGCTTTGTGTTCGTGAATTCCAAAATTATATAATTCATAATGAATATGGGTATTAATTGAGCCATGATTTGAAAATGTACATTTTATTTACATTAAAACTTCATTCTGTACGGCTGTTAATATTTAAAAGGTGTGTCCAAAACTGTGTCCGAAGTGATGTCCTCCGAAGTGATGTTCTCCAAAGTGATGTTCCTTATGCTCATGATGCTCGTGGGCATGGACCGGGATGTGAACCGGAACCTTGACTGGATACGGCACCTCCTTCTCCACCGGGTAGGGAACCTTCTTCTCTACGTAGACGGGGTAAGGCTTCACCACAGGGTAGGGGACTGGCTTCTCAACTGGCACCTTGACGGGATAAGGAACTTTCTTCTCGACGGGGTAAGGCACGTGTTTGACAACAGGAACGTGATAGGGGACAGGCCGGGGGACATGCACCTTGACCGGGTAAGGGATGTGTTTCTCTACAGGGTAGGGGACCTTCTTCTCTACGTAGACGGGGTAAGGCTTGGGTACATGCACGGGGTATGGCCTCTCTACATGCACTTTTACTGGGTAAGGGATCTTCTTCTCGACAGGGTAAGGTTTAGGGATGTACTCCTTGACCGGGTAAGGCACTTTCTTCTCCACAGTCACAGGGTAAGGTTTCTCCACATGGTATGGGACCGGCCTCTCGACGTGCACCTTGACAGGGTACGGTACCTTCTTCTCCACGTGGACCGGGTATGGCACCTTCACCTCCTTCTCTATCGTGATGGTCTTCACCTCGTGATGGTGATGGTTGCTGAAGTCGTGGTCTCCGAAGTCATGACCTCCAAAATCATAAAGTCCTCTTTTTGTTTGTTTCTTCTCCTCGGCGACAACGACGGCTGCTGCAGCCACCAGAAGACAGAAGATCTTCATGTCTGCTGCTGATAGTCGATGTCTGATACTTATCATGACTAGTCCCTGCTATATATACATACTGAACAGGAGTTACACAACTAACTAGCACTGTAACACATACCATGTGAGTAATTAACTAAGGAATACTGCTTTAATTGCGTGTTATGTGATTTGTATTCACCGGATCGGATTTAAACATGTAACATTTTATGTTTTGCTACTTTTTATTACCGTAGGTGTTGCTGGGTTTAATTATTTTTCTCTTTTTATGAGTTTTTAATGAGATACGTTGTCATTTACAGATTATAATTTGCATTCCTACCCAAGCTAATTGATTATATAATAAAATTGGGACTTTTATCTCTCATGCGCAAATTAAAAGTAATAAATAGTTAGGTTATGGCAAATTATTGGCTAACGAATATTACATTCCAATGTTAAAATTGTTACATCAATGATTAATGTGTTCATGTACCTTTTGACAGTACTACTGGAGTAACGAGTCTAGTTTGATTAACTTAATACTTTCGACAACCTCGAAAACAAGTATACATCCCGTGGACCAAACATCGGTTTACTACATTCATACTGAACATAGTTGATCTTGAGAAGAAACTACAGTATAGACTTATAAGTCTGCAAAAAATTACAAATGAGTGGCATAGTCAATTATAAAATCCGGCAAGAATAGGCTAATTCAGAATATGCATCCAACGTTTGCCGGATTCAATGATCAGTACAAAAAAATCAAAGGTCACTAGCTTTTATGTTTGAACGAAAAACAACCAATTAATACTAATAGATCGAGTGATTTAGCTAGAGAATATTTTCATACTTATTTATCTTGTTAGCGAATTTCCCATATAGGCAATAAGCTATTACCGAAGTACTCATGGTAAGACGTCGAACCGGGACCGATTTACTTTTTCGTTTTGAGGTCCCTAGAGGCCAAAAAACCGTCCGTTCAAATTCATTTATATATGTCCGTTACCTCGATAACTCGAGCAAAAATGATCCGATTTTGTGGAATTTTGGTATAAACATGTAAACCTACATTTATTTAAACGACTTCGCGAACCAACATGATCGGACAATGGGAAACAGAAGTTTAGGGGGGGGGGGTTTATGGGGTAAAAATAAGTTTTTCCCATTTTTGACCCTAAAAACACAAAAATTTCACAATTTCATTCCAAACCATTTTGCAGAACTTAAAAAACAAATAATTTAGTATCTTGAAGCGTTATTGTGCGCCTAATGGTTAGGGAGAAAATTCCAACAAATTTAAAATTTAAAATTCCAATGTTATTCTTAAGGAGAACAAGTCAACAGTTGTAGTTTGCTTGTTTATGAACATGTTTTGATCGAATTTGGAAAATACATTCATTTCTTATTAAACAATTAACATAAAAAAAAACACTTTTTACCCTCCCTGTTGCAGCTAAACTAAGTACTCGTCAAATTAATTCTATTTAAATAGAGAATAAATGTGATATTTTTAGGGAGGTATTTTAGAGTAAACCTAATCAGGAAAATGGAAATTCGCTTAGTCTGCATGTTTGCTGCGGTGGAGGTGTTTTCTCATCGATTTTTGTACTTTTTTCAATGTATTTCCCTTTAAACACGTTGACTGTATTTTGTATGTATGTTCACAGGTAAGACAAAAAATTGACAAACTTATAATTACGACGAATTCATTGTCATAGTGTATATCAACCAAATATATGGAATCATTATCATTAGAGTTTCAACAAATTTACGACCATCTTCCATATTGGTAAATGCAAGCAACCTTCCGATTACGATTATCGGATTTAGCTAATTACTTAAACGGTGTTTCAAAATATGTTAAGGACGATTAGAGTGACAAAAAGTGGAAGAAATCTGAGGCTGGTAAGAGAGGTAGATCGTATAACGTCCACACGCAACTCCCAAGGGTTACTTTCCCATACCCCCCCCCCCCCGAAACTTGGCCCGCTAAGTATTTGATATTTAACTGAAATTGTGTATGATCTGCAGACATATGTAGACCCTCCTTTCGAACACAAAGGCGTATTTAGCCCTTGGGTACGCCCCGTTTACGACCAAAGCTTCGTTATACAAAATTTGAAATTTCAGATGCATGTAATTAACTGTATCATGCAGGGAAATTAGCTTAGGTTGTTGACACGATAATCACTAACTAATATAACTCCAAGGTAAGAAAATATATTATTTCAGCAATCCGAGACATACTTTCTCACATTAAACTATGAAACACCCTTATTCGTAATTTGTTGGAGTCATCGATATATAAACACAATAAATTGGTTGGAGTAGGAGTAACAACGACATTTCATTGATAAAATCATAAAAAATGCAATAATCTTTAAACCGTAATTTTTTCAGCATTGCAAAGTTGTAGCATTTTTGTAGTTAAGGACCATACAAAATATTAAGCAAACAATCCTAGAAAATTTCTAGAATTTTCCGTTATTTTATGGGTTTTTTTCCAAAACAAACAAAAAACCCTCAAGACTTCTATTATAGATTAGTACCATAGATTAAACATACTCCCAGTACCCACAAACCAAAATTTCCTAAAAATCGGACAACAGGGCTTTTTGGCTTCAGAGGGATCAAAACGGAGCAAAAACTCGAAAATGTTGACGATAACAATACTTTCTCCATAATTATACTGTGTACTATAAGAGGAGAAATATATGGAAAAATAACTTGTGGTTTAGTATTTGCGATCTGAGGGAAGCGAGCTGGTCTATCGGTAGAGTGCGGACTTTGGTGCCAGAGGTCCCGGGTTCAAATCCCACCAAACACCAATGGATTTAATCTATGTGATAATGCTGCAACTCCTATTCTCCTGTTCTCTAGAAATCGCCTGAAGTAATGTGTAAAACAGTTCTGGGGTAGAACTAATGTCTATGAAGGTGTGACACAACAAATAAGAAAAAATATTTGAGAACTGTGAACCGTTATTAAAGTATTCAAACTATATACTAAGAAATTTTAAAACAACTAGTGTACATGTTGCTCGAAATCGAGCAATTGCAAAGAAGTACAGGAGTTATTTATAAACAAATGACTTGTTTAAAAACTTATAACAGTCATAATTTTCGATGATTTTAAAAGAGTCGACTAAAAGATTATTAACTGATGGAAATACTCACAATTTACATACCAGTCCTATTCCAGTTTAAAGGGTTAATTTTTAACTATCAAACTGCTCATGGACGGGAAAAGGTAAGCTTACAATTTAAGTCAACATATAAAAGCCGTCAGCTTTTATAATCGGAAAGTAAATAAAAGAAACGTCTTATAACACTTAAAACATATATTTACGCTTATACTGATACTCACAAGACGGTAAATATACAAAACAGATGGTAAGTGGTGATCGATTTCGATTGGACACTCCAATCATCATCAGACCCAATAGGCGAATCATCTTTTTTGTATATTTACCGTCTTGTGAGTAACAGTATAAGCGTAAATATATGTTTTAAGTGTTATAAGACGTTTCTTTTATTTACTTTCCGTAAATTTAATAACACGTACAATGCTGATCAAGAAGTTATTTAGCTTTTATATTGTACCGTACCTAAGTTATTTAGCCAATTTGTAGACAATAAGGTGTAGGCTACTAAACTCTACAGAACAGAGTTAGGCAAAAACTGGCAGAGCTCTAAAATTGTGTTATTTATCATAGGCATACTCATATGCCGAATTCTTAAAATAAAAATTAAATAATTAATAACTTATATCATTAAACACAAACCATCATCCAAAACTATACACATTTTTATTTCAACATAGATAATTATTTACACATTACTGTTTACAATTAACATATATTCTTCTTCTCACTTTAAATTTTTGCTTCGCAACGGGAAAATCGGTTTCATAATCATTGAAATAGATTCATAATAAATAATCTATTATCAAGTTTAAGATTAAATAAACCTACCACATAGTTGTTTTATTTTTTTTGGATCAGCTGTCTGAAATTGTGAAATAGGCATTTGACAGTTCTGGTTGTTTACTTTTAAATGTCAAAGCAAATGTAAATATTATGAATTTTCTCATGCTTCCATGGAGACCAATTATTAATATTTAATTTCTGACAACAGCTGGAGTTTCAAAACAATGTTTGTTTCCCATGTTAATCTTATGGAGAAATACGAAACTTTAAAGGGCCCCAGGGCCTCACTCTCTAATTATTTATCTAAAAAGAAAGTTTCCTGCACATCTTCACGTTACGCTCTTTTCAATGACACCAAAAACGTGATAATCGGTTCAGTAGTTTCAGAGGAGTAATTGTCACAAAAATCCTGCTTGCGTATTAAATAAGTATAGATATTGGTACGTTTTATGGGAGAGAAATTGTGTTATTTTGTTGAGGACGTAGGACATCGGCTTCAAATCCCACCAGTCACTAATGTTTAGCTTTGTGCAATAGTGCAACGACTCACGGGGTCAAAGCCCACATAAGACCCAAGGACTATTTTGAAATAAAACAACATATTACGGGGTTTTCACGTGAGCATAACTCCCTCATTCCCTCATTTGAAGAATTTTTATGGGTAATATTCATATAATTGAATTACCTTTTCGTCATAATGTAGCAAAAACAGCCGTTTTATACATGCATTGCGGGTCTTAAGTAGCTCTTTTACTCCATTGGAATTAAAAGGCCTTTTTTAGTCCCTAGGAGGTAAACGCTTTGTAAAAGTCAGGTGATGTAAACTTAGTTGTTAACTTCGGTTGTAAGCAATCACAAGCATCGAAACTATGTATCGATTGATTTAATCGGCTGTAGCTTATCGTGCATTCTTGTCAATAGTTCGACGTATCGATGGTACAATGTGCTCTATCACAATCGTAATAAAATTTGAAATTCATATTCAATCACTTACTAAACAGCTGCTTATTTGTATTAGCAAAATGGAAAATAAGTTGGAAGTTGTTTAGTGAGGTTATCATTGCATGAAAAGAATTTTCGTTTTCTAACTTAGTTTTTTGTTAGTTAGTTGTTGT